GGTCTGTCACTCCAAAAAAGTAAATCTGTAGGCCCTTTGTTTTTCTTATGTACGTTGATTCCAGATTGTATTCGAGTTCAGCACTCTAACATGGTGAAAAGGGTGAAAAAAGATTCAAAAAGGTTGAGAATTTGCTCGCACATTCCCTTCAACGTAAAAATGTTGCATCATCAAATTGAACAAGACATTCCTAGCTATACCTTACTATACTGCAAGAAAAATACAAGTTTGCAGTACTACATCAAACTTTTACGATATCATTGTAATTTTAAAGCAACAGCAAAGTTCACCGATCACAGAACGCTCCAACGAAATGGTCCAAATGGAGCATTTGCTTTAAGCCGGCAAATAAATATTATATAGTTATGCTCAGTAGACTGGAACTTTGAAATATAACAACATATCCTAGTGTTACAGGATCAGTTCAAAAAGTCGCTACTTAATGCCACTACTCTACTCATTTGTGCTAGAATTTTTCCGTGTCAGGGTTTGCACAAAGCCTGTAATACGTTAGGCATGAAGGAGATTGAGAGTGAGCCAAAAAATTGATGAATAAAAAAGCAAAGGTGTTAAAAAACAATCTCCAGGGATACTTAGTTACGAAAAACAGATAGTGCATGATCTTCCTTCAACGCAAAATGCTAAGCAGTGATTTTCTGATACCCAAATTCGAGTGAGATGGCCGTTGTCTCCATATTTCAATCTAGTTACAGCAACTTTCAACAATCGAGATAGGCGGCAACCAGCAATTAAATGACTTACAGCGCTTTCTGTAGCATCGATTCCTGTCACTTTCAGTCCAGCGCGTGCTAAGGGTATTGAAAGAAGACCTCCACCGCAACCAACGTCAACAACCTCAGCATTTTTCTGAAATGATAAGTTGTAACGGGAGGGGAGTTGAAGCAAAGCGAATAACCTTGGTTATGTTTTTCAGGATCCATGGAACTCTCAGCGTATTTAGTGAATGCAAACCCTTGAAGGATCCGAGTTCGTCGTACCACTGTGATGACAAATCTGTGAACATGCGGATCTCATCCGCATCAACAGAGGTTTCCTTAAAGGCTTTAGTTGCAAGTAGACGATATTGTGAGCTGATACTTTGCAGAGGGGCTCGCAATGCTTTCAAAGCCATCTTAAACAGTTATATCATAAATTTTCCCAGAAATGAGAAGACAGCTATAATGAATGAGTAGGACTTTGAACCAAAGTAAAGCTGAATTCACAATGATGCAGACTGATTCCTTTATTCTGAAGCAGAACATGCAAAGTACATCTCTACTGGACGGAATACGCTATGCAGACAAGACTAAAACTCCTAATAAAATCACTTCAGTCTTGACCACTGAGGAATTTCGATAAAAAGTCCTTTGGCTTCGCTTCGACGTTCTCTCGAAACAGATAGTTTCGGACATGATCGGGATTGTAGAAGGCATATCGAATCGCGTACATGTGCTGAAAGCGATGCCGTAAACGAGCGTGGAAGGACTCATTAAACTAAACATAATACTAAAATATAATATGCTACGTTTAGTAAAGTAAAAGATTTAAGTTTCTAACAGTATCACGGTGAATTTTCTAGAGCTTGTACAATAGATTCCGTGGATTTTGCAAACTTGCCAATTATCCATCTTTTTTCATTAAAGATTGCAATATTAACGAAATGCTTACACAAGTGCCATCAAAAAGTAAATTTCCTGCAATTTTCTTTTTTTAGCAAAGTTTAGGATAATAAAATAAACGGAGCAGTTTTTCGGGAAAAAGTATAAAAGACGCACAAATGCTTCAAGTTCGCTATTTGCAGTTCTTCGCTGACGAAATCATTCAAAACAAATAGAATCTCATAAACTGAAAGTTAGCGAAGGTTTTACTAAAATAATACGGCACCATAATTTTGCTTTGCTAATATTTTTTCAAGTTTCTGTCGAAAACATGTAAAAGTTCTCATTTCTTCCGTGTATGATGACAAACTGCAGAAATTTTCTTACTTTGACAATTCCATGCTTCTAGCTCGCAACAAATCATTCAAAAATTGCTAGTATCATAGCTATTGGTATATGATAGATATCGCTACCTGTCTCGTCTCTTCCACGAGTCTGTCAATAACGCGAAAATCGGTGATGTGCGCATTTTTCACAAATTGCTGTTTAAGTACAGAACGGAAAACTCCCAATGGCATATCATGCATGCCAAAATCCCACCAAAACTTCGGAGTCATGCGTTGCCTAAATGAATCTAAAATTTATGGATTTATCCATTTGCCGCCTATTTGCTAAGCTTTGGGAAAAGAAAAAAAGAGATTTTCAATACATACAAATCTTTATAAACTTGAAGAACAGATTGACGAGCTTCCTCCTTGCTGATGGACTTGACAGGAGCGACACGACGCAAGGCGCTTGCGCCTTTGTGTATCGCTTTGCCAGCTGTGGACATTCTAATTCAGTGTATCCCCTCTTGTGATCTGCATGAAAATATTTCAATGCTGGAAGTTCCACGTAAAATAGTATAGGTAAGCACGAGATGGCACTCGTGAGAAAACTTAGAACACGTAGAAAAATAGTTTACTGTATATGGCAAAACTCCCATTGAAAAAGCATGTAACACAGAAAATGAACGCACTCGTGCTTCCAAGAACTCGACCTTCTTTTCAAGAAGATTGAGCTTATCACTGAGAGATGCTAGTTTGCTTCGACACGACAACTCTGCAAAATGCTCATTAATGTGCCTTAAAAAACGACAGAAGGAGCAAAATCCTGACAAACCAAAGCTTGATAAGAAGTTTGCAATGTTCTTCACGTTATCGGCGACAATCTAAACATTCAAAACTCCAACTGCTCTCCGTTTCAAATCTAAGATCACTCCTTACCTGCTCGTATTCCCTGTTATCCCAATCCTCCCGTAATTGCCGCTGCACACTCATCCGAGCAACAGAGTGATATCGTCGCGCCAATAACCCGCCGTTGCAGACCGATTCCAGGATCTCGTCACAGGACCAAACGCAGCAAATCGAATTTTCCGTTTCTCATGCTCCTTTAGTTCTTTAGAAGCTTTCAATGCCCTAAGCTCATCCTCTTTCACAGAAGAGAAGCTGGACTCACTAATTTACTCCTTGTTTTGATATCCGCTTTAGTGTAATGGTGACACAGTTTGGCAGAATTTACCGTAACTTCCAGAGGTCACCTGAGGTTGCATGAGTCATCTGTTTTTTTCCTGAATGCTTATTCATCATTTACTTTCTGAACTTTTCCAGTTCACTCAGCTGTCGATACCGCTGTTTGGAATATGCTTTTACTGCGCTCTTTAGCACTGCTTTTACACCATAATTCTTTTCATCTAGTCGTCTCGATCTTATACATCTTTATTCAGAATAATCTTCTACTTACACAAGAGTTATTCAAATTTTCCAATTTATTTTTCCAGGGCTGCGGCTTGTTTTCCAATTCGAAATGTTTGCTATGATAAATAGGGTTCTGGAATGGTTTCGAAGTTTGTTTTGGAAAGAAGAAATGGAGTTAACACTCGTCGGCCTTCAGAATTCTGGCAAGACGACATTCGTTAATGTAATTGCGGTATGTTTCGGGCATCTCCACTATTCTGCAATGCTCATTCTGCCGTGAAGTCGAAATCAATAAGAGACGCACTGGTTGTTGACGTGAATTAGAAACGATACCTTTGATTTGGTCAATGCTATTCTGTGTTCATAATCTGCCTGCATAAAGCGAGCCATCGGTCATTTTCTCTAGTTAATTAGCTCCAGAACCACTGCAGTGCAAAATTTACATTAAGTTAGTAGCCCTAACCTTTAGACGTGATAAAGATGTACGTCGTTACTGCGACAAGATGTGAATCTGTGCCCTCGAAATGACCTCAGGCAAAAAAAAAACATTGTAAAGTTGTACGCTCCTAAAAAGCAGCCCCTATCATGATTTGGAGCACTGCTTGTTGTTTTTGTTTTGCACTTTCTTTATCACTGTAGTCTTTTTAATTTCTTATTTCTTTTTCCAATCTTTAATGGTCAATTGCAGGTGAATATTTGATCCGGCTGAAATAAAAATCTTTCTAACAGGATGAAGAATTCTTCTGTCCCTTCGTCGGTTCATTTAGCCGTTATCTCACGGCGACTTGAAAAAAACTTGCTCCGTAGAAATGCTTTTTTCACTGCGCATTTGGGTTTTAAAGAAGCTTGCTATTAAGCATAAGTCAATTTTTTGAAGTGCTCATAAACCATGCCAAGGGCAAACGTATCTACAGCTTTTTTTGAAAGAATTTCAAAAACAACCACTGCAGAACCATCAGCATTTCTCCCCCCTCCTCCTAACGATTATAAATGTGTTGAGCATCTTCTCAGAACAAACAGTTCTAGTGTCTTCCTCGCTGTCGCTTCCAAGAATAAATTAGGAAAGGCTGGGTTTTCCTCAGACAGACTGTCAATGTTCAACACTTTGTTTGCTTTCATTCGCGTCTTGGTGCTGATGCTGAGGCGCGAACGGTCGAAAAAGCTGGTATTCGTATACTCTAGA